AGGAATGCACTGAACAATAGCCCGCACACCATATGAGTAATTGTGGCAAATTTCTGGTTCTGTGAAGATTTCAAAGAAGAAAAGACTACAATTAAAAAAAAAATAACTTGTTCACATCATTTAGAGTCATATATTGTAACCACTAGGAAGTCCGTAAAAGCAAGGAACCTGGGTTTCAGAATCACTTTTTTCTTTGCAACTATTATATTCTTAAACTTTTTAGTGGTTGATAAGCTGAGGAGAGAAGGTAAAATACACAGTGGGAACTTAGAAAAATCTGCTGGCTCAGATTTCTGACTATCTATTCTGGAATCACCTTCTTTGGAGTGTGGTAAAACTATAAGACAATTAGAAGATGAGTACACTAATCAAGGAGAAAAAAATTAGCTCTGAAACATCTGGAAAACCTATATATATCACTGGTGACTCCAGTCAATTTCATGAACTCCAAACCACTACAATATACCCACTATAGCTTGTTCACACTCTTGTTCTTTAAATAAAATGAACAAAGAAAACAAACAGCAGAGTTTATACTTTTAAAATGAGAAGAATAGAGTTCCAAAATCAATTTTCTTCAAATTCTGGAAATGTATCAGAGTGGTTCAACATACAATAGAATTGTGATCTGCTGGCAACCAATGAAAATGTGTTGGCACTGGCTTCATTAACTTTTGTTAGTCAGATGTTACATAATCTGTCTAAAGTTGGTCTTTGTCATTAAGGTAAAATTCCTTAATAACTTGAACACCTGGCATAAACAAAGAGTGATAAAAAGAGCCAAAAGAAAAATAAGGTCCCCAAGAAGAATTAAAAAACATCTATAATGACTTTCTCAAAGCACTTGATCTAATTTCTAAATTATCAGTATTTTTGATCATAGTAAAGCAATACTGTGATGGCAATTGTTGACACTAAAGCATCTGTGATTTAATTACCAATGTATTAGAAGTTTTTTAGTTTTAGAATTCTTTAAGTGTAAGTTGTAAATCTCCTGGCAAATGAATAGCTAAAATTATAATATATAATTTAAGAGCCAAATTATATCAGATAAAGAGATTGCTAAAGGAGTGCCAAGTACATTTAATTAAATTTGTAATATTATTGGATGATCTTAAATTTCTCAGTTATCATTCCCAGTATTTCTTGGTTTACACTGGCAGTTCAGTAGTGTGGATGCACATTCATACCCTACCTTCTGAATCATTTGGCAACAGGCCCCCACTTTCATCCCATTTGAGCTCAAAACTGTAGAAGCAGATCATATATTCCAGGTCCATCAGTATCACTGACAGGCTGTTCAGCTGATCGGCCAGCCAGAAATCAGCAAAGCCTACCTTATGGAAGGGGGCTGTAAATACTCGAAACTGGGAGAAAGAAAAAAAATCAGAAAACACAGAAACAAGAAAGTTCATATTAAATTTCTCTAATTCATGTCTGACCCTGCAGGATGATTACTTTAGTTGATAAAATGGAAACCAATGAACCAATCACAAACACAGGGACCTGGCAACAGTGGCTAGGTTGAGAATTAGTAATGAAGGGAATGAGTTGAATGGACAACTAAGAAAGGAATTAAAAGGGTGGGGCAGGGGGAAGGCAGGAATAGCTACAGTCAGAAAACAGAAAGCAGAGAGGTGGGAAGAGCTGAAGTGGAAAGCGGAGAGAATGGCACAAATGCACGGAGAAGACATTTAGCGTTAGAGTCTAAATTAAATTTTGCTGGAGACCCATGTGCTATGATAATTTCTGGAATATTCTCCCATCTTAGCTAACTGAATACAAAGCTCTTCTTTGCCTACACAGGATAGGAAGGGGAGGATAGCACCTCATCTGAAGTATGTATTATGCTCTAACCAAAGTCACTTTCATTTCACTAATGCCATGGTGATAACTGTATTTGTCTTCAAATTATGCCACAAAAATCAGCCCACATCCCACTGTTACAAAAACAATGATAAATAAATTCAGGTTATATGTCTTGAGCACTAATCCACTCTGTGTATTTTTCTCATAATGCATTTCTTATAATCCATTAACTACAACAATTCTGAGCTAGGTGTTATCCATATCCCCATTTTACAGAAGACCTATAACAATAACTCCTCCTGACTCTATTCTGTGGAAGCCTGTTTACTACTGCAAAGGAAAATCCTGGCGTCGCAGAGAGAGAAAGAATTAGATACCAATCACCAGAAATAAGCTCACTGTACAGACTGCCTTGAAAGGCCTTGAGTGAAGTGAAGATGGGATGAAGGCAGCTTTCCTCCTCACCCTGTTAGACCCTTTCTATCTTACACAGGTGAAAATGGACTCCTAAAACAAGGAATTCTGGCTAAGCAACAGTTTTGAGAAAAAGAGTCTAAAGCTATAGCTCTCCTGCCATCTAGGGATATTCATTTAATGGACATATCTAGCCTGGGAGACTATGGCTCTCTTCTCTCAGACTTGGCTGGTTCTTTCTATTCTTTCTCTACATAATTCCCTTGATTATTTCAGGGAAATAATAAATGACTATATTACAAATCAATCCCGGGTGTCAACTATCTATGACAGGTATTGTGTTGGAGCTTTGGAATTTAGACCAGGGGTCTGCAGGACACGATACAGGCTTTAAGACATTACTTTCTGGAGCTGATATATTTTGTGTCCACAGTTCAATCTCTGATCACTCGCTTACTCTTTCAGAAAGTTGTTCAGTAAGCCAGATGAGATGTTACCATTTGCAACCATAAGCTCCAGATACAGCAAACTTTTTTTTTTTTGCAGGGTAGGGTGGGGTAGGAGGTATTAGGGATTGAGATGTTAATCATTTATGCACAAAGAGGTTCTGGTACCAGTTTATATAATATTTTAAGAAACTCTAGGTACAGAATGGATTTAAAAGATTCAAAGAGACAGAAACAAGAGAATAATTTAGGATATAACAACAAAGGATCAGTAAGTCTTACTCAGTCTCTAGTCATGGACTTTTGTGAAACTGGAAGCATAGGGCAAACTTCTCATTTCTCACTGACGTTAGACAGACTACCATTACTGTCACAAACTGCCACACCCAGCCTCAAAACCTGGCTATTACAGAAAACCTCTGTAAGAGCAGAAGGGGAGGACAGTGTATTAAATAAGAAACAAAGAGATAGAGGGATGCACTAGAAAAGGAAAGGAGTGACATAAAATAAAAATTGGAAGGAAGGGAAAATTTACAGAAGATGAAAAAAGAAAGAAAGAAGGGAGTGGTAAGTATTAGTATAAGACAACTAATGAAGGAAAGAACATAATTATAGTCATTCATGCATTTAACAAAGATTATTAAGTATTTACTATATGTCAGGCATTGTGGAGGTACTAAATAAATAAAACATGGCCTGTACCCTTAAAGACCCACAATCCCTTTGGTCAAATAATAAATACCTAAAGAAATAATGACAGCACCATGTGGTAACTGCTATTACAGATAGGCATACAAAATACCCTGGAAATACACAGAAGGGAACAAGTAGTTTGGTCAGAGGTAGGGTGAGTGGAAATGAAAATAAACAGATCATACTTAATTCCCTGACATTAACACATAATCAAATTCATCTTGGACTTATCTGAATTCCTTTTTTAAAAAAAATTATTTATTTATTTATTATTTTGGCTGTGTTGGGTCTTCGTTTCTGTGCGTGGGCTTTCTCTAGTTGCGGGGAGTGGGGGCCACTCTTCATCGCAGTGCGCAGCCCTCTCATGTCGCGGCCTCTTGTTGTGGAGCACAAGCTCCAGACGCGCAGGCTCAGTAGCTGTGGCTCTCGGGCCCAGCTGCTCCGCGGCATGCGGGATCTTCCCAGACCAGGGCTCGAACCCGTGTTCCCTGCATTAGCAGGCAGATTCTCAACCACTGCGCCACCAGGGAAGCCCTGAATTTCCCTTTTTGAGTGAGAATTCTCCTTCCTTTCTTATTCTGGCTAAGGTCTTTCAACTTCTACTTTGTTGTGATTTAAATTAAAATGATAACAATTCACTGAGTAATTGTATTAAGAAAGCTACGGACAACCTGGATATCTGATGTTTCACCCACACACACAAAAAGACTACTAACAAGTTATTACAAAGGATAAATGTTACCATCTTCTAAGTTAAGATGATCAAGTTAAGGAGATAAACAGTTAAGGAGATGAAGTCTTAATTTCTACTTGTGGATAATCACATTCTTTCCAAATCTGATTTTAAGATTCCTGTTAGGTGATCCACTAATCAAAGTTAAACATGTAGATAAAGTGACCACCAGGTCTAACTGTTAAATGATAGTGTTTAAGAACACAGATTATGGAGCCAGAAAGCCTGGGTTCATATCCCATCTCTGTTACATCCTGGCTTTGTGACCTTATTTAACTTCTCTGAACCTAGGTTTCCTCATTTATAAACTGTGGATTAATAGTAGCTCCAACCTCATGGTTTATTAAAAGGATTAAATAAGTTGATACATATAAAATGTCCGGAATAGTACATTATTAAATGAGAACATTTCTCTAATCTATTCTTATAATAGACACATGTAAAATTTTTATTATACAACTAAAGAAAATACTGGAAAAAACAAATCCAAAATAATATAGCAAAAGACTCAAATTTAAAAACTTTATGCAGCCTTCTATAAGAATAACTTGATACTTTTGTTTAGAAAATCTGAGGCATTGTTTATGCTTCCTAACTGGATTTCCAAGTAGGACAAATACAGATCTGGAGAGAGGATATATGACCTAATGAATGTAAATAAACTGTATTAATCTGACATATAATACTAATATCAAAACAAATCAATTTCTTAAAAAAATTTCTTTAGCTTCTTTTGGGGAGAGGAGTAACATATCAATTCCATAGATTCAAATTTAAATATGAATATAAGTGGTGCCCAGTGCCTACCACTATGGCCAAGTGACATATGTTCTTTTTCCACTAAAAATTAAAGAAAAAAAGAAAAAGGGAAATGTAGTTTACTTTAGGATGAAGCTTTAAGAAAAGCTGTATCAGAAAAACATAACTAGGGTAGAAACGTTCTTGTTAAATCACTAGAAATAACTCTAAGGGTAAATTTTCTCAGTGAGATTTGAATTAAAATAAGTCAATAGGTCAATTAATATTAAAATAATCTATAAATAACATTTTTACTATTTACAATTATTACAAACATACCAAATCACAATGCTTGCTTCCGTATTTCACTGCTTCTGAGAGTATATTTTACTATTCTCTTATTTCTTATTACACCCCTGCCAACCCATTCCATCAACAGTCCTCATTTATTAACATACAACAGATGCACAGATAAATGTCTACTCAATGGGGAATCGTTCTGCTAATAAGAATAACTGGTCATTCATGAATCATACCCGCTTCCTATTTAAACAAAGAAGGATGCACTGGGGAAATGTTCACTTAGCACATGATGTACACAACTGTATTATTTTGTTATTGTAATGATGCAATCATATTAACACCTGAGTTTTCTAAGTCTTTCAAATCTCATTTGAAAATAACTTTATAGAGATTTCACAATAATTTAGGAAGGAAAAATAGGTGTTTATAATCTTGTAGTTATTTCCTTGTAACCAGAAGAATATTACATTTTTTATGCAAATAACAGTTTAGAAACTCCACAAAATCTAGAAATAAAATGACAATCTCAAAATAAGAAAGGTAATCTAATATTGTTGTACTAACAGGAAATGATTTATTTTTAGTATAAATTTCAAAGAAAAAAATGGCTCAATTTTTTCTTTTGTCTTAAATTAAAAAAAACTCTAAAAAGCATGTTTTCTAGATGATGACAAAAATTAAAGGTGATAGTATAACTTATGACTTATTAAAATATGCTTGAACATCAAAGTTCCACACTCAGAATTCAAACTCAAAATTAGGCCTAGTGGTGCTATACTTGAAGGGAATGATTTGCTTCCTTGTTTGCTTGCTTATTTATTTATTTATATTGAATGAAGTTGGTGGAAAAGAGGGAGATTCTCTGTTTGTGATAAAAATCCTAGTGGAAGAAAGAAGAAATACAAATAAATGAACAATTAACTTTGGGGGGAAAAAAAATCAAGATTTGGGCCATTTTCTTTTTCAGATTGCTATAAATACCTGCCTACATTGGAACATAGGCTGCTTTTATTCGTTGACTGCTTACTATGTTTTTTTAATTGGAAGGTCATATTTTATTCCTTCAGATTTTAAAAATTTAGTTAATGCTAAAGAGAGCATATTGCTAAGAACAACAACAAAAATTATCCTAAACCTAAGGGGCATACAAAAGGAGAAAGAAATTAAAACTATAGTTTTCAAGGCAACATACTTTATAAGGTGAAAAAAAAGTGAGACGATAATTATGAGAATTCTGGAAGTCTGTGGAGATTGGTCAATTTAATTACTAACCTTCACTCTACTGTTAGTTGTAATTTGTAATCTAAGAAATAATTATACGAAAGCATTCCCAATTGATTTTCAAAATAGAGCTGGTTAAATTTGGAAGTAAGCATAAGTTCCTTTCCAGAGCAATCTACAATATCCCAAAAAATATAGCTACCATTTTTGCAGGAAATTCTATACCCTAATGCTGAGACTGCTTGATTTTGAGATCATTAAGAAATAGGTAAAGTGGAAGAAGAAATGGAATTTATAAAGTCAATTTCTCAAATTAAACTTGGTGATCTGACAAGATATTCCTCGCAGTGCGCAGCCCTCTCATGTCGCGGCCTCTTGTTGTGGAGCACAAGCTCCAGACGCGCAGGCTCAGTAGCTGTGGCTCTCGGGCCCAGCTGCTCCGCGGCATGCGGGATCTTCCCAGACCAGGGCTCGAACCCGTGTTCCCTGCATTAGCAGGCAGATTCTCAACCACTGCGCCACCAGGGAAGCCCTGAATTTCCCTTTTTGAGTGAGAATTCTCCTTCCTTTCTTATTCTGGCTAAGGTCTTTCAACTTCTACTTTGTTGTGATTTAAATTAAAATGATAACAATTCACTGAGTAATTGTATTAAGAAAGCTACGGACAACCTGGATATCTGATGTTTCACCCACACACACAAAAAGACTACTAACAAGTTATTACAAAGGATAAATGTTACCATCTTCTAAGTTAAGATGATCAAGTTAAGGAGATAAACAGTTAAGGAGATGAAGTCTTAATTTCTACTTGTGGATAATCACATTCTTTCCAAATCTGATTTTAAGATTCCTGTTAGGTGATCCACTAATCAAAGTTAAACATGTAGATAAAGTGACCACCAGGTCTAACTGTTAAATGATAGTGTTTAAGAACACAGATTATGGAGCCAGAAAGCCTGGGTTCATATCCCATCTCTGTTACATCCTGGCTTTGTGACCTTATTTAACTTCTCTGAACCTAGGTTTCCTCATTTATAAACTGTGGATTAATAGTAGCTCCAACCTCATGGTTTATTAAAAGGATTAAATAAGTTGATACATATAAAATGTCCGGAATAGTACATTATTAAATGAGAACATTTCTCTAATCTATTCTTATAATAGACACATGTAAAATTTTTATTATACAACTAAAGAAAATACTGGAAAAAACAAATCCAAAATAATATAGCAAAAGACTCAAATTTAAAAACTTTATGCAGCCTTCTATAAGAATAACTTGATACTTTTGTTTAGAAAATCTGAGGCATTGTTTATGCTTCCTAACTGGATTTCCAAGTAGGACAAATACAGATCTGGAGAGAGGATATATGACCTAATGAATGTAAATAAACTGTATTAATCTGACATATAATACTAATATCAAAACAAATCAATTTCTTAAAAAAATTTCTTTAGCTTCTTTTGGGGAGAGGAGTAACATATCAATTCCATAGATTCAAATTTAAATATGAATATAAGTGGTGCCCAGTGCCTACCACTATGGCCAAGTGACATATGTTCTTTTTCCACTAAAAATTAAAGAAAAAAAGAAAAAGGGAAATGTAGTTTACTTTAGGATGAAGCTTTAAGAAAAGCTGTATCAGAAAAACATAACTAGGGTAGAAACGTTCTTGTTAAATCACTAGAAATAACTCTAAGGGTAAATTTTCTCAGTGAGATTTGAATTAAAATAAGTCAATAGGTCAATTAATATTAAAATAATCTATAAATAACATTTTTACTATTTACAATTATTACAAACATACCAAATCACAATGCTTGCTTCCGTATTTCACTGCTTCTGAGAGTATATTTTACTATTCTCTTATTTCTTATTACACCCCTGCCAACCCATTCCATCAACAGTCCTCATTTATTAACATACAACAGATGCACAGATAAATGTCTACTCAATGGGGAATCGTTCTGCTAATAAGAATAACTGGTCATTCATGAATCATACCCGCTTCCTATTTAAACAAAGAAGGATGCACTGGGGAAATGTTCACTTAGCACATGATGTACACAACTGTATTATTTTGTTATTGTAATGATGCAATCATATTAACACCTGAGTTTTCTAAGTCTTTCAAATCTCATTTGAAAATAACTTTATAGAGATTTCACAATAATTTAGGAAGGAAAAATAGGTGTTTATAATCTTGTAGTTATTTCCTTGTAACCAGAAGAATATTACATTTTTTATGCAAATAACAGTTTAGAAACTCCACAAAATCTAGAAATAAAATGACAATCTCAAAATAAGAAAGGTAATCTAATATTGTTGTACTAACAGGAAATGATTTATTTTTAGTATAAATTTCAAAGAAAAAAATGGCTCAATTTTTTCTTTTGTCTTAAATTAAAAAAAACTCTAAAAAGCATGTTTTCTAGATGATGACAAAAATTAAAGGTGATAGTATAACTTATGACTTATTAAAATATGCTTGAACATCAAAGTTCCACACTCAGAATTCAAACTCAAAATTAGGCCTAGTGGTGCTATACTTGAAGGGAATGATTTGCTTCCTTGTTTGCTTGCTTATTTATTTATTTATATTGAATGAAGTTGGTGGAAAAGAGGGAGATTCTCTGTTTGTGATAAAAATCCTAGTGGAAGAAAGAAGAAATACAAATAAATGAACAATTAACTTTGGGGGGAAAAAAAATCAAGATTTGGGCCATTTTCTTTTTCAGATTGCTATAAATACCTGCCTACATTGGAACATAGGCTGCTTTTATTCGTTGACTGCTTACTATGTTTTTTTAATTGGAAGGTCATATTTTATTCCTTCAGATTTTAAAAATTTAGTTAATGCTAAAGAGAGCATATTGCTAAGAACAACAACAAAAATTATCCTAAACCTAAGGGGCATACAAAAGGAGAAAGAAATTAAAACTATAGTTTTCAAGGCAACATACTTTATAAGGTGAAAAAAAAGTGAGACGATAATTATGAGAATTCTGGAAGTCTGTGGAGATTGGTCAATTTAATTACTAACCTTCACTCTACTGTTAGTTGTAATTTGTAATCTAAGAAATAATTATACGAAAGCATTCCCAATTGATTTTCAAAATAGAGCTGGTTAAATTTGGAAGTAAGCATAAGTTCCTTTCCAGAGCAATCTACAATATCCCAAAAAATATAGCTACCATTTTTGCAGGAAATTCTATACCCTAATGCTGAGACTGCTTGATTTTGAGATCATTAAGAAATAGGTAAAGTGGAAGAAGAAATGGAATTTATAAAGTCAATTTCTCAAATTAAACTTGGTGATCTGACAAGATATTCCTACTGCTTTTAGAGAACCAATACTTCAAAAAATAAAAATGTTTGATTGACTACTTATAGCAATTTAACAGGAAAGTAATAGTTTTACCACTTAAAAAAAGGGAAAATTCTACATGTTATCACAGTTGATTAATCTTTAAAGTAATTAGTTATGAAATATTAATTTGCAAAGTCATTTCAATATCTCGACACTTCATATTCCATTTTGGAGGAAAAAATGCATGAGTGCTTTTCCCAGGGCCACTGTTACTGCACAACATTAGATGTACAAGCCATACTGTATTCTTTGCCCCTGGAGCTGGGGTACCACTCATTTAGACTACAATGTGAACATGCCTTCTGAAGTTGTGCAATACAGGAGTTTTGTTTTCATTCTGGAGGAAGCCAATGACCAATATACCACTCTAAAAATGATACACAAATTTCTGGACTTACCAGCAGTTTAAGCAGCCAAAACCGGGATTTATAATAGAAAGTTTTGGTGGGGTTGATGAGAAAGAAAACCATAAACCCATAAAGGACAAGTGGGTACACATATGTGGGGATGACACTAACTGGAGCAAAGAAGCATGCCAGAAGGCTCAGGCACCACAATATCCCGAGGAATCCAGCAATCTGATAAAGGATGGGAAAGACAAAAAGAAAGAAAATTATTTTTATTTCTACCATTACTTAAAAAATCTTTACTAAAACAGAGGTAAGAAAAATGTTTAATTATTATTATCAACAATCCTTTTCAAATAGATTTTAGTACCCACTAAACCAGCTATATAGCTAATGTAAACTATATCCATGGGATTTTATGTCTTGCTTTGATTACCTCAAAGAGATGCTGATGAGACAAATTGCTTCTCGGATTAAGTTCAAAGATGAGCACATGATTTACTCCAGCCTGTCTCCAACCATATGTGTTGATGCCCAGTAGAAAAAGGAATTCAATCAGAAGAAAGCCACCGCGATAGATTCTTATCAAGGGCCAAATACTTCTATCTGTTTCAAGTTTAAATACAGCTGAAAGAATATCAACTAATTGGTTAGTTAGAAAATTTATAATGTCTCCATTAATTGTCTTTCTCTTAATTCTCAAGGATATAACCCTGGCATAAGAATTTTTAATAAATAAAACGTAAACCTAGGTTATCTCAAGAGCCTGGTAAACTTGCTTCGAGGTTCTTTCTCTTCTTCATTTCACTCTGCAAAATTCCACCAGAAAAATTTTCCTAAAATTTGACTTTCAGCATGTTAGTCCATGGTGAAATAATTTAGAACCATCAGATCAGTTCTGTCAGCTGGGGATTTCTGGCATGACACAACTTCTCTGGCTTTGTTTTGTCTATCACTGAACTGGATATAGTAATGCCTAGCTCACAGCGTTACTATGAAAATTATAAGAAAGAGTATATATGAAAGCAATGTGAAAACTGAAATGTCATATAAATGACAACAATTAGTATTTACAGAATGCTTACTATGTGCTAAGGATTGTATTTTTACATATAACAATTCATCTAATCTTCACAATGGCTCTGTGAGTTAAAAACTATTATCTCCATTTGATTGATGAGAAAACTACAGCAGAGAAGTTAAGTAATTTGCTCAGGTTTACCAAGCTAGGATAAAGCAGAGCCAGGATTTTAACTCAGACAGTTTTGCTCCAAAGCCCATACTCTTAATTACTACATTCAATTGCTCATATGCCCATACAAACGTTCAGTATCACTACTATCCTATAGATCTCCAATAATTATAAAATTCAAACGTTTCAGCCTCGCAATTCAAGTTCTTCACAATCTGATCTCCAATTAAGTTTCCCAAACTTATCTCATAGTGCCCCTAAATTCTTATTTCCTGATAAGTTTTATTATCCTTTTAACAAATTCACTTTTTTGCTTATGTTGTCCCCTGTACCTAAAATGGCCTTGCTCTTTCTTTTGACCAATTCTATTTCTACTTATTACTTAAGAACCAGATTCTCACCTGTTCATAAATTTATTGAATCAATGTTTCATTCTGAGCCTACTCTGTGCCAAACATTTCAATTTCGCTACCACTTTCTCAGTTTTCCAAATAACTATAAAATTTACTGTTAGCACTACTCATTTGAAATTTAATTATATACATCTTATATACTTAAATAACCATTTATTATTTATCTTTGTACTCTCTATAACACATAGCACATTTAATAATTTTAAAATAACAGGGTAGAGAAAACCTTTGCTTTGGAGTCAAATACTACAGACCAGATTGCAAATCCTAGCTTTACTAGGGCACATTATTAAATTTCTCTAAGTCTCAGTTTCTTTGTTGGTCAATGGGGAGAATATCTATTCTCATAAGTTTGTTAAGAAGATTAAATCTGAACAATATATACTAAATGCCTAAAACAGTACGTTTGGCCCATTTTTGAATATTCAGTATATATCAGTTTCTTTTTACTTGATGAAAATTCATTTTTTCATTAATTTGACAAATATTTATTGGGTGCCCATTATGTGTGACACCATTCTAAAAGCTGGAGATTCAGGAGTGAACAACAGACAAAATACCTGTCTTCAGGCAACTTCTATTCTGTATAATGTCAGATAGTGAGATAAGTATTTTGAAGGAAAAAAAGTAAAGAGATAAAGAATGTTAGGTGCTATTTTAGGTAGGGTGGTCAAGAAAACCTCTCAGAAGATGACATTTGCAGGAACCTTAAGGAAATAGAGACTTAATCATGTGACTCTCTGGAGGAACAGGGCTCCAAGTAGAGGGAAAGTACAAAGGGCCTTAAGATAGGTATAAGCCTTGTGTAGTCCAGGAACAGGAAGAAGGACAGGGCACCATGACTGGAATGAATAAGTTACCTACAGGCAGATCAGGTAGGACTTTGTCAAGACTTAAGCTTTTACTCAGATGTATGAAGCCAATGAAAGGTTTTTCACATAATTGGTATGACCAAATTAATAATTTTAAAGGACTACTGTAGCTGTCATGTGAAGAACAGACTGCAAAGGAACAAGTACGGTAGCAAGAAGATTAGTTAGGAGATTGAAAATAAAAATATATATATATAGTCTTACATCCTGATTCCCAACCAAAGACCACATATATATTATAAGAGTCAGGAAACAAAAATAATAAGTATAAATTCCAAAGAATACACAATTAAACTACTAGAGCTAATAAAGTCAACAAAGTTGCAGAGTACAAGATCAACACAAAGGGACTTCCCTGGGGGCACAGTGGTTAAGAATCCTCCTGTCAATGCAGGGGACACGCGTTCGAGCCCTGGTCCAGAAGATCTCACATGCCATGAAGCAACTAAGCCTGTGTGCCACAACTACTGAAGCCTGCACGCCTAGAGCCTGTGCTCTGCAATAAGAGAAGCCACCACAATGAGAAGCCCGAGCACGGTAACGAAGAGTAGCCCCTGCTCGCCGCAACTAGAGAAAGACCGCACGTAGCAATGAAGACCCAACGCAGCCAAAAAATAAAAAAATAAAAATCAACACACAAAATTCAGTTGTCCTTATATAAACCACCAATGAACAATCTGAAATGAAATTAAGAAAACAATTCCAATTACAATAGCAAACAAAACAATAGAACACCAAGGAATAAATCTAACCAAGGAGGTGAAAGACTTGTACATTGAAAACTACAAAACACTGCTGAAAGAAATCCCATGTTCATGGATTGGAAGACTTGTTCAAATGGCAATGTTACCCAAAGTATTCTACAGATTCAATACAATCCATATACAAATTTTAATGGCCTTTTTTTTTGCAGAAATGTCAAATCAATACTCAAATTCATATGGAATTGTAAGAGGCCCCAGATAGCCAAAACAATATTGAAAAAAGAACAAAGTTGGAGAACTCACAATTCATGATTTCAAACTGTACTACAAAATAGTGTGGTACTGGCATAAAAAAAGATATATAGACAAATGGAATAGATTGAGACCTCAGATATAAACTTATACATCTATGGCTGATTGATTTTCAATAAGAGAACCAAGACTATTCAATGAAAAAGAATATTCTATTCAACAAGTGGTGCTGAGACATTTGGATACTCACATGCAAAAGAATGAAGTTGAATCCATACTTCACAGCATGCACAAAAATTAGTTCAAAATGGATCATTGAGCTAAATATAAGAGCTAAAACCATAAAACTCTTAGAAGAAAATATAAGGGTAAACCTTCAGGACCCTGGATTTGGCAATGGAAGTCTTAGATATGACACCAAAAGCATGAATAACAACAAAAACAGATAAACTGGATTTCACCAAGTTAAAAAATTTTGTGCATCAAAGGACATTATCAAGAAAGTAAAATGACAATCTATAGAATGGGAGAAAATATTTGCAAATTATATATCTGATAAGGGTCTAGTATCCAGAATATATAAAGAACTCTAGTAACTTAGCAATAAGACAACTCAATTTAAAGATGGGCAAAGACTTGGATAGATATTTTTCCAAAGAAAATATACAAATAGCCAATAAGCACATGAAAAGATGCTCTATGTCATTAGAAAAATGCAAATCAACACCATAACAAGAAACTACTTCAAACCCACTAGGATGGCTATAATTAAGAAAAAAAAAAGGGAAATCACAAGTGTTGTTGGGAATGTGGAGAAAACAGAACCCTCATAAATTGCTGGTGGAAACAGAAAATGGTGGAGCCTCTGTGGAAAACAATTTGGTGGTACCTCAGAAGGTTAAAAAGCATTATCATATAATTAAGCAATTCCACTCCTAGGTATATATCCGAAAAAACTGAAAACGGGTACCCAAACAAATCCATGTATATGCATGTTCACATTAGCCAAAAGGTAGAAACAACACAGCATAGTTATATTTAGTTTTGGTGATACTACCAAACAGTTCTCCAAAGTACTATACCCACTTCCACTCATTCACTTTCATATCTTCATGGTATTCCATTGTATAGGGGTAATGTCATTTATTTTTTTAAACAGTTCCTGATAGACATTTGAGCCGTTCCTAGGATTTTGCTATTATAAACAAAATAGTGGTGAATACCCTGCTTTCATATATGTCTTTGCACCCATGTATAAGTATGTTTATAAGATAAACTTCTAGAAATAAAATTGCTTAATCAAAGTGATTGTATTAAAAAATTTTTACATATGCTGCCAAATTATCCTCTAAAGAGACTGCAACAATTAATACTTTACCACTAGTGTATGAGTGCTTGCTATTTCACACTCTTATATGCACTTTTTTTTTTTCTTTTTACTTATTTTTTTTTTTTTTTGTGGTACGTGGGCCTCTCACTGTTGTGGCCTCTCCTGTTGCGGAGCACAGGCTCCAGACGCGCAGGCTCAGTGGCCATGGCTCATGGGCCCAGCCGCTCTGCCGCATGTGGGATCTTCCCGGACCGGGACATGAACCCGTGTCCCCTGCATCGGCAGGCGGACTCTCAACCATCAACCACTGAGGGAAGCCCCTTATATGCACTTAAAAAAAAATTTTTATTGGAATATAGTTGATTTACAATGTTGTGCTACTTTCTGCTGTACAGCAAAGTGAAACAGTTATACATATACACATATCCACTCTTTTTTAGATTCTTTTCCCACATAGGTCATTACAGAGTATTGAGTAGAGTTCCCTGTTCTATACAGTAGGTACTTATTAGCTATCTATTTTATATATAGTAGGGTGTACATGTCAATCCCCCCCAGTAACCATAAGATTGTTTTCTACATCTGTAACTCTATTTCTGTTTTTAAAATAAGTTCATTTGTACCAACTTTTTAGATTTCACATACAAGCAATATCATACGGTATTTGTCCTTCGCTGTCTGACTTACTTCACTCAGTATGACAATCTTTAGGTCCATCCATGTTATTGCAAATGGCATTATTTCATTCTTTTTTATGGCTGAGTAATATTCCATTGTATATATATGTACCACATCTTCTTTACCCATTCCTCTGTTGATGGACGTTAAGTTGCTTCCATGTCCTGGCTATTGTAAATAGTGCTGCAATGAACATTGGGGTGCATGTATCTTTTCTAATTATGTTTTTCTCTGTGTATATGCCCAGGAGTGGGATTGCTGGATCATATGGCAGCTCTTTTTTCAGTTTTTAAGGAACCTCCATACTGTTCTCCATAGTGGCTGTACCGATTTACATTCCCACCAACAATGTAGAAGGGTTCCTTTATACGCAGTTTAAATGGTCAAACTCTTGTCTTTGTCAAACCAGAAAGTGAAATATGATATATTATTATTATATCAATTAAGTACAGGTTACTAGGAAACTATAAGAACAAGTTTTAAAAAATCTCAACAGGTAACTTTTCATCTTCATAACACTAAATATCTGGAATATGTGAATTTCAGACAAATTATTAAATATCAGGTCATGTCCCCTTGAGAAACCATAGCAATTATGCACATTATATATATTTTTTTAATTTTTTGCGGTACGCGGGCCTCTCAATGTTGGGGCCTCTCCCATTGCGGAGCACAGGCTCTGGACGCGCAGGCTGAGCGGCCATGGCTCACGGGCCCAGCCGCTCTGCGGCACGTGGGATCATCCCGGACCGGGGCATGAACCCGTGTCCCCTGCATCGGCAGGTGGACTCTCAACCACTGCACCACCAGAGAAGCCCACACATTATTTTTTTTAATGTGAATGTTTGAAAAAATAAGAATCATGCTTGTACATGCATTACTACTGCTGTGTTTCTGTCTCAATTTTCAACTCTGTTATCATTTACACAACCACTGGGAGATAAATAAGGATAGACAGCTGGCTTTAACTGTATTTACCCTGCCACCCCCACAGACACACAAAGATTAAACAAAGATGGGTTCTGAGGTGAGAGAACATAAATACACAACACTAAATGCATAAAGCACACACATTAGAAAATAAATCAGACCGTCTCACAAAAATGTAGGCTATACATACGAAAGAAAGCAAAACTCCAACTTGCCCCTGAATTTAAGAAACCTTCATTTCAATTCACTCACATAAAAAGAATGAAGTTTATCTATTCTTATGTCTTATTTAATAATGGTGATGATGATAACACCATGCTTACCTTGGAAAGAAAAAAAATTTCACACACAGATGAGTAAAGTCTTCCCTGATGCCCTCATTTGAAAGTAATCACTTTTTCTCTTGACCTGCTTAGAAAACACTTCTATTTTGTAGTGTATTATTATTGTTTTAATATGTCTTAATCTCCCTCGTGTAATAAGCTTCATAAGGAAAGGAATTCTCTTATCTATCTTAAGACTCAAGATTATCAAGCATAATCATAGATACATAAAATTTACTTGTTGAATGAATTCTAATACAACCCTGTTCTTGTAAGGTATTAAGCTCATTTAACAAATGAGGAAAGTGTTTCAGAGAAGTTAAGTCATGTCTTTAAAGCCAAAACAATTAAGAAACAGTTGAGCTGGGACTGCAACCAGGCAAGGCCTTTTGTAGATAAGTCAGTGTTCTTTCCATAACAGCTAGCTTGATAATCTAGGGCTAGGCTTTTTATTGTAGTATTTACATGCATTATATATAAGTAAACTGCATTCATCCCTGAAGACACAGAGCTAGATTTAAATATGAACATAAAGTATACCAATTTTAAAACATGAGCTTACAGTAGACAATAACAGAGTTAGTTTTTAGTAAAATTGGTGGGAAGGAGAACTCTAAACATACAAATGAAAATACACTGTTAATACGTAAAGTTCACACACTATCTAAAAGCCATTACAACCTGGGCTATAATTTCATAATATGCAATCTGACAATCTTAATTAAGAAGAATGTTTATGAGGAATAATGAATTCAGTAAATTATTTCTTGAACATCTATATGTCTGGCACTGTGTTAGGAACTTGAAATACAAAAATGAAAAATACATAGACCCTGGAATCGAGAATAGTTTAAGTGTGACAGTGATACAAACCTTCCTTGTTCAGGCAGCATTATAATTACTAAAAGTCCAAAACAGATTATAATGGATATTTATACAATAACATCTATTTCTAAGTCATTTTCTGTGCAGACTTCACTGAACAGAATTTAATCCTTTATTAATGACTCACAGTTATTATAAGCACAAATACATAGACTCTTTTTTTAAAAAATAAGTTTATTTATTTTTTTTATTATTTTTATTTTTTTGGGGGGGTGGGCACGCAGGCCTCTCACTGCTGTGGCCTCTCCCGTCACGGAGCACAGGCTCCGGACGCGCAGGCCCAGCGGCCATGGACCACAGGCCCAGCCGCTCCGCGGCATGTGGGATCCTCCCGGACCAGGGCACGAACCCGTGCCCCCCGCATCGGCAGGCGGACCCCCAACCACTGCGCCACCAGGGAAGCCCTATTTTTATTTATTTTTGGCTGCATTGGGTCTTCAATGCTGCGTGCAGGCTTTCTCTAGTTGTGGCAAGCGGGGTCTACTCTTTGTTGAGGTGCAAGGGCTTCTCATTGCGGTGGCTTCTCTTGTTGTGGAGCACGGGCTCTAGGCATGTGGGCTTCAGTAGTTCTGGCACGCGGGCTCAGTAGTTGTGGCTTGCGGGCTCTAGAGCGCAGGCTCAGTAGTTGTGGCGCACAGGCTTAGTTGCTCCGTGGCATGTGGTATCCTCCCGGACCAGGGCTTGAACCCATGTACCCCTGCATTGGCAGGCGGATTCTTAACCACTGCACCACCAGGGAAGCCCCAAGTGCACAGACTCTTGAGGTATACCAGGATTATCTGCCCTTAAAGTAAAAGTCCTCAAATTCAAGAATCTTTGAGATTTGTGTTTTTTTGCTGTTTGTGTGTTTTCTGTATATCATTTAATTTCATCTCTGTCCTTCTGTTCCACCCATTCAAACTTCAACCAACATTTTCTGAACCGTGCTATATCCCAGGCAATGTTTTAGGTGCTGGAGATACAATGGTGAACAGGAGAGACAAAAGCCAAGGCATTAAGGAATTTATATTCCAATGGGAAAGCAGATAATATGAAACAAAATATGTCACAAGTGCTCCAAAGAAAACTGATGTAGGCTAAAGGGATAGAACAGGCTATTTTAGGGTAGGCTGATCAGGGAAGGCCTTACTAAGGAGGTGGCATTTGAGTAGAGACTACATGAAGTGAGGGAGTAAGCTATGTAGACATCTTGGGGAAGGGCCTTTTAGGCAATTGAAAGGGCTCATAGATGGGAATGAGCTTGGTGTGTTCAAGGAACAGTAACAAAACAAATGTGGATGGAAACAGTGAAACCAAGTGAAACTGAGTGTGGGAAGGATGACAGAATATGAAGTTAGAAAGGGCCAAAGGGACGAGATCTTGCACACCATAGTCGGAACTTTCAATTTTATTTTAAGAGAAGCCATTTAATGAATTTTGAAGAGGAGAGTGACGTGATCTAACTTGCATCAAAAAGACACTGCTGACTACAGAGAGGCAAGATTGGCTGTATGGAGACAAATTCAGGAGGCTGCTGCAGTGTACTAAGAAAGAAATGGTTGCTAGACAAGGCACTGGTGGAGGTGGTCAGATTCAGAGCATGTTTTGAAGACAGAGCAACAGGATTTGCTGATGGACTGGAGATGAGGTATGAGGGAAAAGAGGCTAAAGGTTTCTGGCCTGAGAAACTGATGAGAGGTGATGCTATATGGAAGATAAAGCATATTTAGTGATAAAATAAATTTGTCCACATAAGTTTAAGATGCCTATTAGACATCTAAGTATCCAATTAGATATCATTCAGAGGAAACAGTATATAATTTGGGAGTTATTAGCATATAGATGATATTTATAGCCATAGGCTTCAATAAGATTGCCTAGCAAGGAAATGAATGTAGACAGAGAAAGATCTGAGGACTGAACCCAGTGGTACCTCCTAACATTTAGATGCCAAAAGAAAAGAAGAGCTAGAAAGGAGTCTGGGAAAAAACTGCCAGCAAAGTTTAATAAGAAAACCAGCAGAGTGTGGTTTCCCAGCAAAATGAACTGAAGAGTTTCAAGAAGGAATGATCCACAATGTCAAAATGCTGCTGAGAGGTAAGTCAAATTCTGTTGGGAGGTTTAGTAAGATTATGCCTCCCTTGTTGCTACATCATTTCTTGATGTTGGGAATGTACTTGTTTCTAGCAATTCCTCCTACCTCTTTATAATTTTTAACTGCTATAGAATAGAATATTATATAATTAATTTTCTTAAAATTATATGCAAAGTAATTGTAAACAGGTTCTGGAAAGGATGTGAGAGAGTCTCCAAAAAGCAAAGTAAATGACCTTAGTGCATAAATTTTGTAAAATCTTATTTACTCTCATCTGTGATCAAGGGAGCTGAGGTTATTGATAACTAAATGCTGAAAATGATGGAGAATAAGGAGTCACAATCTAGCAATGTTTAAAGGGATAATTATATCCAAAGGGGAAAACAAACCAAAATAACCAACACCCACCCTCCCATCATTTATAAAAACAAAAAACTTAGCCCTGACAGATTTCTCTTTCAGTAGCTTTGGTAGTTTGCTAGTAACTTTGGTAGAGGGACAGAATATGACATAAGCAGATTAGTAATAATTTAATTAAAAATTTAAACTACTCACCGGCAAGCACAAGGGTAATATTCAGTACAATGAATATTCCACAAAATAGGCCAACTCTAAAAGTAGTCCATGCTGGTGCAGGCTGTGGACAGAAAAACAGCATTTTGAGTAAAGGGCAAAATATTGAATACATTTAGTATACAGTGTAATAAATTAGCACCATAAGCCTCAAAGTTCTACCATGAACATATTTTATGATCTGAATTTTTGTAAATCTGGACCAGGGAATCATCCTTCATTATCCAATAATACTAGAATTGAGTTGCCCGTTTATTCTAATTATTTTATAGAAATCTGTGTCACTAAATAAAGAGAATTAGAATCTCAGGCATCAAATTATATACATACTGAGTTTTCTTATAAGAGAGATTTAAGTGCAATTTCACTTTTACAGTGTGTACATATTTAAATTTTTAAGTCAGTATTACTCAATTTGAGTTCACATATTTGGTACTATATAATTAGAGACAATGATAAAAATAAGAATACTCATTTTCTGAGTACTTACAGTATTATATTGGAGTACCTTAAAGTGAATTTTTAAACATACACTCATGTCAGAATCTCCAGGATGGGGGCTTTCCTGGTGGCACAGTGTTAAGAATCCGCCTGCCAATGCAGGGGACACCAGTTTGAGCCCTGGTCTTGGAAGAATCCACATGCCATGGAGCAACTAAGCCTGTGCGCCACAACTACTGAGCCTGTGCTCTAGAGCCCTCACACCACAACTATTGAAGCCCACAGCCCCTAGGGCCTTCATGCCACAACTACTGAGCCCACATGCTGAAACTACTGAAGCCCACACGCCTAGAGCCCATGCTCCGCAACAAGAGAAGCCATCACAATAAGCCCACACACCACAATGAAGAGTAGCCCCCGACTGCCCCAACTGGAGAAAGCCCACACGCAGCAACAAAGACCCAACGCACCCAAAAAAAAAAAAAAAAAAAAATCTCCAGGATGTGTACACGCAAAAATTATTTTTCTCTATTATAAATGTAATTTTAAATTTAGAAAATAATAAAAAGAAATCTACTGCTTTCCAAAATAAATAAAAGAAAGTGCCTGATACTTTAAACATAAATAGATGAGAAATATGGAGAGATGATCTTATCTTTTTAAATATTTGCTATGAATGTTATAAAAGAAATTGTTAGAGGTGATGTTACATTTAAGATTCTTCAAATGTTTTCTAAAAACCTTTAAATGAAAAAAAACACTGAGACTTCCTCTGACTTACTTATTATTCATCAGTAATAGATAACTGTATATTAGTTTAGGACTGAAAGCATTCAGAAGGAAGATGGTCATTTGTCTTTTTCAAAAAAAATTTTTTAATTGTGTAATTTATCATATTTACAAAAGGATGTGTGTGTGTGTGTGTATACACACACATATACATATAAATAATGTATTTGGACTATTAGAGACAATAATAAAAGGTACCTAAACCTATCACCCATCTTTAGAAGAGCACATTTCCATTTCTTTGAAATCCTTATCCCTTCCAGTTCCAAAATCCTTCCCTCCTCACCAGAGATAACCATTTCAATGTTTTCTTTAGCTCTATCCCTTCTACATGCAGTTCTAAAAACTTAATTTTTCAAAATTAATTTCCTTATTTTTAACAGCTTTATTGAAATATAATTGACATACAATGAACTGCACATATTTAAAGTATAAAACTTGTGTCTTTCCTCTCTGGATGCTTTTAAGATTTTTCTTTAATTTTCAAGCAGTGTGACTATAATATGCCTGTGTTTTTTTTGTTTTGTTTTTGTTTTTTTTTTGCGGTACGCGGGCCTCTCACTGTTGTGGCCTCTTCCGTTGTGGAGCACAGGCTCCGGACGCGCAGGCTCAGCAGGCATGGCTCAAGGGCCCAGCTGCTCCGCGGCATGTGGGATCTTCCCAGACCGGGGCACGAACCTGTGTCCCCTGCATTGGCAGGCGGACTCTCAACCACTGTGCCACCAGGGAAGCCCCATGTGTGTTTTTTTTTAACTGTTTTTCTGACTAAATTGACATATAATAAACTGTACATATTTAAGGTGTACAAAATCTGATATTTTGACATATGTAAACACCTATGAAACTATCACCATAACCAAGGCAATGAACATTGTCTATCATCCCGAAGAGTTTCCTTTTGCCCTAATGTAATTCTTTTCCTCTTACTACATCCCATCCCACCTCCAGGCAGCGGCAAACCTGCTTTCTGCCACTGTATGTTAGTTGGCATTTTCCAGAGTCTTAGGTAAACAAAACTATAATGTATATATTCTTTTTTGGTCTGGCTTATTTCTTCAGAATAATTATTTTGAGATGCATCATGTTGTTCCATATATCAAGGTTTATTCTTTTTATTGCTGAGTAGTACTCCATTGCATGGATATACCACATTGTTTACCTATTCATCTACTGACAGACATTTGGGTTGTTACCAGTTCTAGGCTATTATGAATAAAGCTGCTATGAACGTTTGTTTTTATATGAACATATGCTTCATTTGTCTTGGGTAAATAACAAGGAGTGTAATGGCTAGATCTCACTGCAGGGGAAGGTTTAACTTTTTAAGAAACGGCCAAATTATTTTCCAGTGTGGTTACATCATTTTATACTCCACCAGCAGCATATGCGGTATCAGAGTTCTTGGTCCTCCAAGATTTAGTATGTCAATCTTTTTAATTTCAGTCATCCTGATAGGTGTGTGTTACCCCATTGTGGTTTTAATTTGCATTTCCCTACTAATGATACTAAGCATCTATTCACATGTTTATCTGCCACCCAGACATCTTTGATTAAGATCTTCTGCCCATTTTTAAGTTGGGTTGTTTGTTTTCTTATTATTGAGTACTAGAGTTCTTTATATGTTCTGGGTACAAGTCTTTTATCAGATATATTTTTAAAACATTTTCTCCTAGTCTGTTGCTTTTCATTCTCTTAACGTTGTCTTTTGAAGAGCAGGAGTTTTTAATCTTGGTGAAGTGCTTTTGGTGTCATTTCTAAAAAATCTTTGCATAACCCAAAGTCACCAGGACTTTCTCCTATATTTTCTTCAAAGATTTGTAGTTTTAGGTTTTCATTTAGGTCAATGGTACATGTAAAATTAATTTCTATACATGGTATGAAGAATGTATGGAAGTTGTGGGTTTGCTTTTTTTTTGGCATGTGAAAGCCAACTGATCCAGCCCCACTTGTTGAAAAGATTATCCTTTCTCCAGTGAACTGCCTTTGAATATTTATTGAAAATTAATTGTTCATATATTTATTGGTCTATTTTTGGATTCTCTATTCTGTTCCATTAATCTATTTGCCTATCCCGACACTAATAACACACTGTCTTGATTACTGTAGCTTTAATAAGATTGATACCACATAGTGTTAATCCTTCAACTTAGTTGTTCCAAAGTTGTTCTGGCTATTCTTGGACCTTTGTACTTTCATATAAATTTAAAAATTTGCTTAATAATTATTTTTTAAAAGCCCTGTTGAGATTCTGAGTTAGTTTATGTTGTATCTACGAATCCATTTAGGAAGAAATGATATTTTAAAAATACTGGGTTTTCTAACTTCTCTCATGTACCTGTCTTCTTTAATTTCTCTCAATAATGTTTTATAGTTTTCAATGTAAAAGTATTACACATCTTTTGTCAGATTTAACCCTAAATATCTATGTATTGATCTTGTATTCTGCAACTTTGCTAATAACTCACTAATTAGCTCTAGTAGCTATTCTATAGAGTCACTGCATTTTCTAAATAGGTCATCATGTCATCGGCAAAAAAAAAACAAATGAAACAAACCCCACCAGTTTTACTTCTTTCTTTCTAATCTAAATGCCTTTTATTTCTTTTTCTTACCTTGCTACACTGGCCATAATCTCCAGTACAATGCTGAGTAGAAGTGGTAAGAGTGAATACACTTTTTTGTCCCTAGTTAGGGAGAAAGCATTCAGTGTTTCATCATTAAGTATGATATTAGTTTTAGGTTTTTCATAAATACCTTTTATTGGGATGAGGAAGATCTTTCTGTTATTCATTTCCATTCCATTCTGGTCACAGAACATAATTTCTATGATTTAAATCCTTTTAAATTTACTGAGATTTAGTTTATGACACAGAAGATATCACTTAAATGTCTTTTGGTGTAACTACTATGTAGATATCATTTAATAAATGCTGTTTTAGTCACAACTATTGCATTTTAGAGGAAAGTATGTAGTAGCCCAGACTGTCTGAAGCCCTCCCACTCCCATATCATCAGATAAATATCTCATCTGAATCATTTGGTCTGACGAAGATAGCATGTCAATAAGAATAAACAAGAGAAGTAGTACAGGATAAGAAGAGAAAGGTGGGAAGACATTACAATTTATTATGAAGTGAGATCTGGCAGCTAATTTTTTAAAGTGAAAACAGCAATAGTAATAAACACTTATAAACTTTGGCTGAAACCTTTTTTAAAGTAGTGAAACTAGTATATTTTATCAGCTAACAGATCATGTTGATTATTAAATAGCTAAAACGAACCAACCAAACAACTGGAAACAAATACGAACCTGAGCAGCTCCCAAAGGGGGAACACGTAAACGCTTCATAGCTTTTTGTCTGTCACCATCTTCAAGTTCATTGGTCACTACAGCCTAAGAGACACATTGTTAACTTTTGACACAGGTTATACTGAACTTGAGTATTGCATAAATAATTCTGAACCATTTATACATATGGTATTCTGATAACCCCCTGGTGAACATATACTGAATAAAGCAAAAGAAATAATCATGAGTAAGAATATATGTATTTAAAGCAAGCAACTAATAACAAAAGGAGAATAAAAATGAGGAGTTATTTCATTAAAAATAAGACATTAATGTTACTGAAGATATATGGTATATAAGTGAGATTTCCGTACCTCAGTTTCAGAGATGAGCTGGTTGATTTTCTTGCATGTATAAAACGGGGCTACTTCTACATGAGCCACTCGCCAATCTGCTCCACGAGATGTTTCCAGGATCTTGTCATGCTTTTTAAGGATTTTTCGGAACCCTGTAAAATTCAGATTCTACAGAAAGAAATGAGAAACACTACTATAATTTCCACCACCATGAGAGAAGATGAAAAATAATAAGCCCTTTGTGTTGACTGAGTTGACTGAAGATTGAGTACCGAGGGAAATGGCAATGCTTTCATAAAAGCATGTACTATAAAAAGATAAGACTCTAATTTCTTATTTCATTTATTCATTTCAAGGTAGTATGCTATCAGTAATACAAAGAAACTCTGGATTATGAACCCTATTATTTCTGTTTCATGTAAATTAATGGAAGTCTTAAACTCAAAACATTTTTATTTCCATTTTCCTATGTACAACTGTTTTCAAAATAGTTAATTTATATTATTTTGCTTCTCTGATCAAAAGCATATATTCAGAAAATCCTCTGGATTTATCATGAACTGAATACATTTATTAGTTCTTTGCTTTTTGCAGGCCTGGTATAGCTATGTATTTCCCCCTGCTATGCAAGCATGTATGAACAAGCACAGAAAATGGATAATCATCTATTTTTCTTAACTTTTATTTTGCTTCCATCCATTCTGTTTGGGGATGGGTGTGCAAAGAGTCAGTGGAAAAGAAGTGATCATACTTACAAGGTTTTGCTGATAACGAGTAGGAGCTTGTACTTTTCCTCCATTTCTACAATATCAAAATACTATACTTTTCTATATTCTCAAATCCTGTTGTTCTTTAATCAACAGACAAAAAAGCAAGAAACTGTGGATTTGCAAGGTTCTTTAAATCAGAGGTCTCCCAAATTTGCTGATCATATATCACCATCAGTAAAAAAAAAAATTGAGCAGTCACGCCAAATTAGGTTTTGCTTGCTCGCCTGTTTGTTAATATTTTTTTTCACACTTTAATGGGTCATCTTAAACTCTCCTTGGGTGTATACACCATGATTTGGAGACTGCTTTCAATTCATTTTCCTTTCTCATCATTTTCAAAATAAATGTATTCTTACAGGATAGACAGTCTCAAAGGATAAAGAACAGATCAGAACTTTTATAATTAACAATTATTTTCAAGAAGCTGTTTATAATGACCCAAAACAAAAACTTATGGCAAAGTTAATAAAGTAAAATTTAACAAGGGTATTTCCCTGTAATGCATAAGCATAACTAATAAAATATGAAATGTTAGTATTTTATATCACTATAAGCAAGAAGAAACACATTTTTGTTTCTTTTTAAAGATAAATTATAAAGCTATTTCAAAGGAAATTTGAAATTTCAAAGGAAAGGAATTTCCCATCATATATATCTTATATAATTACTTTCCTATCCTTCTAAAGTTATTTTCTGAGTTCTTCTTTGAATGTTAAAATATTAAATCACCAAAAAAGACAGCAGAATTATGAAAGAGAAAGATGGAAATAAGTACATGCATTAAACTTAGATTACTACAGATATGGCACTATAATTACCTTTTTTTTTTTTTTTGGCGGTACGCAGGCCTCTCACTGTTGTGGCCTCTCCCGTTGCGGAGCACAGGCTCCGGATGCGCAAGGTGAGCAGCCATGGCTCACAGGAGCAGCCATGGCTCACAGGCCCAGCCGCTCCGCGGCATGTTGGATCTTCCCGGGCTGGGGCACGAACCCGTGTCCCCTGCATCGGCAGGTGGACTCTCAACCACTGTGCCACCACGGAAGCCCTATAATTACTTTTTATTTTAAAATTCCAATATTTACCCATGGTAATACTTGTATTATATAACCTCTAGCTTTTATATAGTGTATGATCCTGTGATGATCTTAACCGGATTAGAAGTAATAATCAAAAGAATAAAATGGAAAAATAATAGCACATAAGGTCTCTTTAAAGATTAGGAAGATGCTTTTGCCTATTTAAATGTTTATTATTTAATGAATAATCTGTTTTTCAATATATTCTTATAGATTTAACTATGTGAACAAATCCATAAAGAATTACAAATGAATAAATGCCAAGCATTTCCATAATTTAGCATACATGGTAATTCAACTTTTTAGGCTGGGTTTTAAAATTTCTTTTCTTTCCCAAGTTTTGTTTTTGTTTTTGTTTTAAATACAGTCATATTGCAGCCTGTGGATAATAAAACTGAAAGGGTTCTCAGTGGAAAGTTGAAAAGTCAGTATCTTTTACACTATTAGTGTTAGTTGCAGGAAAGTTAACTATACAGCTGCTTTCATGGAAATTTTGCTGTGGTGGAATATAAAAGTTCTTACATAGCCAGCAGTGGTTGGGTAGACATATATTATTACTTATTTCCACTCATTACTTAGAGATGCCTCTAAAAATAGGAAGCAAACTATTACTCTTTGAGTCAAGGGCTACTCCTGAATACTGTACAAAAAGGTTTTGGAAAACTGATTTTCAAAAACAGAAGTCTTGTTAACATTATTTTACCATCTCTGATAACCTGGTTTTTAGCCAATTAAGAACCTTTGAAATCCCAATAAGAACAGATAGAATAATGACATGCTAAGAATCTCCCTTTTTGGATTGACCCATTAGTATAGCTCAAGGAAATTCCATTTATTTTAATTTCTCAATCATTTAAAGGTTCTATCCTCCACAGTAAGAACTGAAGTACCTGATAGTTCTGCAGCAGGATAAGACTGAGGTAGAACTCGCTGAAGGCCAGTTTAAGGTCTTTTAGATTCCTATGTTGGACACGTTCCTCATGGGACAGGTGGAAGACTGGCTTTCTGCGTTGTCGCAGTGTAGTAACACCAGTGCTTTCTTTCTGTGCATCCAGTGATGACTGAAGTTCATTCTGAAGTGTAGCAAACCTGCGCTGAGCCTCTGCGAGCTTTTCTATAAGAAGTAAAACAGAACTGTCAAATCAAGATAAAAAAGCTGGTAAAAGTTCTCACTGACGTCTGAATTTTTACTGATTAGTCTGTTTCCCTAAAATTTCTAGGGAAAAAAATGCTACATTTAATATTTAGAACTAGATAGGAAAAATATGTTTCAGTGTAATACCCTCCTTTCATTCTACCCCACACTTCCTCCCAGCAAAACCTCAAGTGTACCCTTTCTTTTGACAGATGAAGATTGAAGACACAGAATTTAAAAGCCGTGAAGAGTGAGAATACAAAATGGTACAGCCGCACTGTAATTTGGAAAACAGTCTGGCAGTTCTTAAAAAGTTAAACATAGAGTTACCTTAAAGATCCAGCAATTCCACTCCTAGGTATATAACCAAGAAAACTGAAAATATACATGCACACAAAAACTTGTACACATACACAACCTGGGACTCATAATAGTCAAAAAAGTGGAAACAAACCCAATGTCCATTAACTGATGAATGGATGAGCAAAATATGGTATATATGTACAATGGAATATTGTTCATCCATAAAAAAAGAATCAAGTATTGATACATGCTAAAACATGGATGAATATTGAAGATATAATGCTCTAAGTGAAAGACGCCAGACATAACATGCCACAAAATTGTGTGATTCCATTTATATGAAATGTCTAGAACAGACAAGTCCACAGAGACAGAAAGCAGATGAGTGGTTGGCAGGGCCTGGGGGGAGGGAGGAATGGGGAGTGACTGCTAATGGGTACAGGGTCTTTTTGGGGTGATGAATGTTCTGGAATTAGATAGTGGTGATGGTTGTACAACCTTGTTAGTATTTATGCTTTGAATCTCCTCAGGAATAGCTCATTCCCTTTTAAGGGCTCACATAAGTAAGCCAGGCTTACCTGGAATAATCTCACTTTCTTAAAGTTAACTAATTTGAGACCTTAATTATACCTGCAAAATCCTTTATAGCAGCACCTAGGTTAGTGTTTGATTGAATAACTGAGAGAAAGTATGTGTATATCAGGGGGAAGGGATTTTGGAGGGCACCTTAGAATTATGCCTACCACATACTTTGAACTGATGCAAATTTCTCACTCCAAATGCCATTTGGTTCAGC